CCTAGCGCCATTTTGGAGAGTATCCACTGAACGTAAACAGCGTATGCTGTTCTGTGTCTACTGCACCATGCGAATATGCTGTTTACGTCATTTACGCTTTGATTTGAACGAAAACAACGTATCCGCATGACACAGCTGACACAGAACAGCATATGCTGTTTGCGTTCAGTGGATATTCTCCAAAATGGCACTGTAGGGTGACGCGGAGGAGACGAATTGTTGAATAAAGTCGTTATTTTTGTTTACTTTGCATACAAAAAGTATTCTCGTAGCTTCGTAAAATTACGGTTGAACCCCTGATGTCACACGGATTATTTTACCGATCTCCTTGCTACTTTTCTGGACGTTGATCGTGTTAATTACATTGCTGTCTATGGGAGGGTCAGAGAGCTCTCGAATGCATCAAAAATATCTTAATTTGTGTTCCGAAGATGAGGGTGAGTAATTAATGACGGAATTTAAATTTGGGGGTGAACTATCCCTTTAAGTACCAATTAAGTACAAATTAAGATTGGAAGGCATTCCAGAGAACTCATTGTTTGGTCTTATGCTTCATATATCTTTTATGTTTTAGCATCAGTTAACAGCCTAAGTCTGGCCCAAGCCCAAAAGTGTCTGTAGACATCCAGGCCAAGATTGTGTAAATGAGACATGATTATAGAGGGAAAGAGAGGAGCTGCTGTGCATGAATGTATTCCCACTGGTTTCCCCAAAAAGCTCATCGTAGCCTCATCAGATCTGAACGCTCTTCTCCCTCCCTGATGTCTCAACCTTGATTACTCCCTCCCCATCCCTCCACTTCATTGATCTCTCTCTTCTGCACTCCTCTCTGCTCAGGCTCAGGGTTTTGTTTCAGTACTGTCTGATCCCAGTCTGGTTTTCAAGGAGTTGAAATGCTGTCAGTGCAAGTTCAACCACAATTCTCACGAGTCTCTTCCTCTATCCATCCCAGACTAACAGAGACTGAATCTCAGCCTTCAGTCTTCACATTTCAAAGCAAACTCTCTCCGTCCAGTGAGATTTTATTTTACTCATACAACTTTAGATTTTCTCGCTACAATCATGCCTGCTGTGAAATGTTTAATCTCTCTAGTTTTAGTTAGACTTGCTAACCCTGCGGAAAACCAACCTAGATCAGCTCAGCTGGTGACAGACATATGGGACACAACATGATCCATGACTTTATTTGCCATTCGTTTTGAAAGCAGCAACATTTCAACTATGAAGTGAATCAGAGACTATCATTAGAATATTTTTAACACAAATGATCCATGTCATTTGATTTTGTCTTTATTTTATTACATACTGTATATAATATCACGTTATATCACTCACTACCCCAAAATCCAACTGTCATCACACCATAATAACCAGAGACCATAAAAACGTTTATTAAATGTATTTTTATATTCTATCAAATGTAAATTAACAATATATGTGTTTAAAACTTAAAAAGATAATATTTAATATACTTTTGATATATGTATTTAATATACACTGTAAATGCAAATTTTATAGAAAAGATTGACCAGCACATTCTTCAAAATGTCTCTGTTTGTGTTCTAAAGTTGGAAAAAAGTAAATAAGAATAAGTCATATGGAATGACATATGGTTGAGTAAATTCAAAACTGAAATATTAATATGCATCTTTTAATGAAACATTACTGCTGCAATTTGACAACCTTCAGGAAAAGGTTAATATTTCAGAATATATAACACTTTTATAAGGTTTCAAAACTGTGTCCCTCTTGTCAACACCATCAGATATTTATGAAATCAAGTCATGTCAAAGTCAGCCTTCATCCCAGAGGTATTTTTTCCATATTTCAGCTGCTGAGAGTTTAATAAAGTCACACAGGCTCTGGTGAGGTAGATTTGCTTAGGTTTAAAATGATTTGTCAAAATCTATGATATTTGACAAGGTAGTACAGACATATATTGAGTAATAAAAACACAAATTTCGAAAAAATAGAAGGAGAAGTGGGAGGCTGTACCAAAGCGTCGGTGAAAACATCTTAAATCAGATAATTTACTGGCATATACATTTTTCTGAAAGCAGTCAAGATATTGAAAATTGAGTTTGTCCAAACAGGTTTAACTTATCTTATTAAGATACTCAGTTTGTGAAATATGCTAATATGTTTTTTCAGTCATTGAGTTCATTGAACTGTAAGTGCAGTGTTGTCATCAAAATATTCAAGACATACACTGAGCCAGAGCCACAAGAGAATTGCCATTAACTTCTAACGATGAAGTCTATTCACTACTTATTAAATATGATATATCAGTGAAAACAGGGTGTTGTTTTCATTTGCCGGCTAACTTGTCACAATAAACCCAGAGGGGCTCATAAGCGGTGTGCTAATATCGCTGCTGTAGCTCTTACACACACATACAGATTCATAATTAGGATTATGAAGTCCAATGAAAGTATTATCATTTGTGTAATTTCACAGCAGTGTCTGTCAGTGTTTTTATTATACTGTCATACAGCTGGAAATATGAAAACACTGTCTGAGTGAGAATGCAATTCAAATCTTATGTTCCACTTCCTAAGAGGTTCAACAAATAATCTAACAGTACCATATTTGATGGTACTTACTGCTGGAGCCACAGGCCTTGTGTTTCGATTCTGTTTCATCTGATTATTTTTTTTTTTCCGTGGTGATGTTTGTGGTGTTGGATGATTAAAATGGCTCTATACCTGCGTGACTCAGGACTGGAGGAGGATGTTTTGCTGTCTTTCTTCTTCACTTCTTCACCATACTCACTCAGGCTGGCTCTTGCTGTTGCATAACAATCCGAAAAAGGACAGCAGAGGAGGCAAAAAGCATCGTGTCATCCTCTAATGTTGCTGTATTAGAGAAGAGAGAGAGAGTTTCTTTATTATTATTATTATTCTGCTTATTTATTTATTTGCATCACTGGTAGTTTCATTGGTTAATATTACTTGTTTACTGGCACTGTTGGGATTATACTTAAATTTGCATTGCATGCCATTAAAGCGCACTAAAACAGAAAATTGAAAATGAGATTGGCCTGTCTGCTGATTCCGAATAAACTGCTGACCAAAACCTAATAAGAACAAAACTAGTGAAACTATTTTGCAAATACATAAATGTATTCAAATTTTTTAGCCAATTTTTGTGTGTAAATTTATGCTAATTCAGTGTCCATTCATCCATTTTTTATACATGCTTACATGCAGCAAAACTGATTTAGAAAGGATTGGAATTGATGGAGCATGACGATGTGAGAAGCAGGACCTTATTATGCTAAATATATTCACATTCTTTCAAATTATATGAAGGAGAACTCTCATGAAAAACAAACAAACAAATCCAGGCTTATTATCCAAACAGATAGTAGAAGCATCAGACACAAATTCTCACCTGCTGAACCAGTCTGAATACCACTTTTTCCTATCATTACTGTTAAATGTCATTTTTATTACAGAGGTACAAAACATTAGATTAGACCAAGCTGATATTTTAAGGATCACTTCATATCGCAAAACATTGGCTCTGCAATTTCAGTTTAAAATAAGTGACTAATTTCATTTTTGAGAAAAAGTTCATTCTTAATCATTATAATTGAATAATCAAGTCAACTGACACTTCGCAAAGACCTGCCCCAGTTTCATTACTGTTGCTATGTCCAACAAGCCATGGCACTCTCACACCACACATCATGTTCTCACGCAGTGAGAAATACATCGTGGAGCAAAGAGGAAACTGAAAATGTGCCAACAAGCAAGACATGAAACAAAGTCTCCGCTTTCAAATTGTGTAATTTGTTATGAAAATTCAAACAATAAGTACCGTTTTGTGGATCTTTATTGTGTCGTGACAGATTGTGGCAGCACCTCATTTCAAGCGACATATGAACCGTTCATCTTTTCCTCTTTACTAGTTATAGCGCAAAATAAACGTGAATGAACATCAGAAGGTATCTTGTTTCAAGTGCGGAACAAAGTCCACCGATAATCTACTCTTCGGTCAGATTATTATAATTTTTTTCAGACAAAAGTGGATTCGGTGTTATGATTGATCAGATCACCTGTCAATCGAACTCCCTGCTAAGGAGTTTTCATTTCACCACGTTTTTTGTTAGATCCTGAGTGGAGGTGGAGCTGTGGTGAATGATAGGATTGTTGGTACAGAACAACCTTTTGTATCAACCTTTCTCAAACATCATAAAACAGCTGCCAACCAAATAATTCCTGCTTTTCATGCGTTGTCATGTCAGTGCTCTGTTCGTATTTGTAATTGTTTATGAATCTTGGTGCATTTCCGCAGTGGGGATCACAGGTTCTAGCTTTCAAATAAAACAAGAGATTGCCGACAAACCATTAAAAAGTGAAGCGGATTTGATGTGAAATGTCATTTTAATGCCATTGTTGTGGAGGGCGCAGGGGAGCGACAACTGATCTGTTTCCTCACAAATACAGATTTGTCAGGATAAATGTGTTTAGCTGTTCATCCTGATTTATATTTTCATTCTCTTTTTTGTTGTCTCCTTCTCTGTCACTTTCACAGATATACCAAGATGAAGACAGCTACCAACATCTATATATTTAACCTGGCACTGGCTGATGCGCTGGTTTTGGCTACGCTTCCCTTCCAAGGCACGGATGTGTTCCTTGGTTTCTGGCCCTTTGGCAATGCCCTGTGCAAGGCGGTCGTCTCCATCGACTACTATAACATGTTCACCAGTGTGTTCACCTTGACCGTGATGAGCATGGATCGATACGTGGCCGTGTGCCACCCAGTGAAAGCCCTGGACATGCGGACGCCCCACAAGGCCAAGGTGGTCAATATCTGCGTGTGGGTCTTGGCTTCAGCCATAGGGGTCCCGGCTATGGTACTTGGAGATGTGGAGAATGACAGTGGTGAGTGTGTGTCTACAGTTATGACCTTATTTAATTGGTTATTTTCTTTATTTTCTTTCTTGTAATTTTACTTAATATTCTCTGCAACAATTTTATTTGAGATTCATAACTGCACATTATTCCTGCACAAAAAGTAAGTGCTGTAATCATTTTCATTGAATATCCAATTTCAATTTTGGAAATACACCACCATCATGTTTGGAATAATTTAATTAATTAATTAATATTTCTTTTTTAATGTTTTTAAAAGAAGGCTCTTATGCTCACCAAAGCTGCATTTATTTGATCAAAGATACAATAAAAACAGTAAGCTGAATTTAGTTCAATTTGATGCTGAATAAATATATTAATTTCTTTCTTTCTTTCTTTCTTTCTTTCAAATTTCCATCAAATTTCCACAAAAACATTAGGCAACAAAAACTCTTGATAATGTATGCAAGCTTGTTTGCACCATATGCTTAAAAAAGTGTTGTTGCAGCTTTTTATCTCATAATTTATACTTTTTTCTCGCAATTCAGTTTAGATCAGTCAGAATTGTGAAATATAAACTCAGAATTGCAAAAAAATAATTCTGAATTCTGAGTTTATATCTCACATTTCTGACCTTTTTTTTTTTTTTTTGGAATTACAATGAAAAAAGTTTGAATTGTGAAATAAAAAAGCATATTAGAAGGATCATGTGACTGAAGACAGGAGTAATGATGCTGAAAATGCAGCTTTGCATCACAGGAATAAATTACATTTTAAAATATATTAAAATAGAAAACAGTTTGTTTAAATTGTAACAATATTTCACAATATTACTGTTTTCACTATATTTTTGATCAAATAAATGCAGCCCTAGTGAACAAAACAGACTTCTTCAAAAAATTGACATTTAACTAGTAGTGTATGTCAAATTATGAAAGTAAAACAGGTTGTAAAAGCTGTTTCCTGTCAACTTTAATGTAAAAGGTTCCCTCAACTGCAGAAAATGTGAGAATAATCACAGTAGCTTACAGGTTCCGTCAGTGAATATTAAACATTTATGCAGCATTCATTTGGGAGCAGCCGTTCAACTATCGCAGGATGCACGAGCACGCCGAATAACAAATTGCAACACCTGAGACCTACAGGGGAATCGTAATATGACTGTATATGTGTGTAGGGTTTGTTTGTCAATAATGCATGCACTATTAAGAGACTTTAAAAAGCACATCCAAAGCATTTCAGTGTTAATCATTTTGCTGTTATTGGATCCATTGAGGTTACAGTAATTGCTCTGCACACTGCTCTGAAAGCAGAACCACGGGCGACTCAGAAAGACCTTTCCTCCCTGTGGCTTTGAGCTCTTGATAATCATAACATTTCCTAATTGAATGAGGTTTCTTTTTAGTTGAAAAGAGCATGAAAGTACCTTGCTACATTAATAGTATTAGCAGGAAACAGGTTTAACACCATGCTGAGCTTTTTTTTTTTCGCTTTTTTATTAAGTATATACATGTGAGTGTGTATTCAGTATGTGGATGTGCAGTGCATTTGAGTCTGTGTTTGTGTGTGAAAAAGTGAATCTCATGGGGAAAATATTTCTGTCATATATTAAAAAAAAAACTACTATCATTTACAATAATAATAATTAAAAAAAATACAAAAGAATGTTTAATTGTCCAGAAAATAATGTCAAGGTAAAATTTCTTAAAAAGCTGTAGCCTTTTTTAAATTATTTATCATATACTTCACATATTTTGTGACCTGTTACCCATCGTTGTATTTATGTCCACTCATTTGTATTTATGTATATGTCCTGAATCTCTGCTGTGCCCTCTGCGACATCTCTTCAACACCCTCCTCTCTTTCATAATCCATTATTCATGAACCTAGATCCTGAAGAATAGTGGATAAGCCCATTTAGCTGTATTGTGTTGAAAAACCTTCTCTGATCTCCAGTTCCCTCTCTGTGAAATAATCACCACTAAACCAGCACATTAGAAACAGGACACAGTATTTAAATGCAGATGAGTTAGAGGCAAATTTTACATTAAAACAGTTGCTTTATATAAAGTATACATTAAAAAATGTCTGCCTAGGAAGGGATGCACCAATACCATTTTTTTCAGAACCGATTCAATCCGATAACAAAAATAGTATCGGGGCACATGTTTTTTTTTTTTTAATCAACAGAATTTCTATACCTCAGTGTGGTGACCTGTTCATCACTGTTTTGTGTGTTAAACACAATCTACTAAATATAGACAACTTTATTTTAAAGAAAAATAACAAATAAACAAAGATTAGTAGATAATTCAGCAGCAAAATTGTATTCTAGAAAAATCATGAGTGCACAATAATTTTATAAAATCTAAACATTTAGTGAAATAACATTATTTAGTGGGGAACAAATATAAGTGAACAAGTGTAGGACTAAATCTGGTAAAATGTTACATTGCTCTTTGTATTGTTTGTATATACTATAAATTAAAAGACGTTTATTTTAAATGTATAACAAAGTAATGGAGGCAGCAACATATGATAGACAGAACAGAACAAGAAAGGCTATTAATAATCTTTCATTGCGCACAATGATTATAATATGAAAGGCCCAATCCAGAGCAGCACAAAATGCTTATGCGCATCCCGTGCGCAGAATGATGCGCTTGAAGCAACATTGAGTCACAAAGTGAAAAGTTCAAAGCTCAAAGAGAAGAGATACTGATGCGTAGTATATTATATCTGTGCAATAGTTTATTGAGCCTTTTCTTTTAACAGTTTTAAACTTTAGTTACTGCGCTCTTGGAGAGAGTTTCATTGTTTTGACTGTAGTAACCAAACACTACACGCAGTTTGAATGCTGAATGGAGTTTACATGAACTTGAATTTAACAACTTCATCTGTACCACACATTAAACTATGGAACGGCTTCAGAACACTTGAAATATAGTGCATGAAAACTTTACGGTGCTTTAAAAATGTTTTTGTGCCTTTCATTGAGCTTAACAATAACACAGAATAGTATACGCAGAATAACAGATTTGGATCGGTCTCGTCTGACCGATACCTGATCCGTAAGAAAATACCAGTATCGGAGCCGATACCGATACTGAGTATCAGATCGGTGCATCCCTACTGGGAACCATTACAATTGTTAGCAGATGTTAAGCAGACAATCTACTTATACTTAAATGACTGGTAGTTGACATGTAGTAGCAAAGTTACTTATAGTGAGCAGAATGTCTAAAGTGGACTATCAATACAAAGTGTTACTGATATTATTACAATAAAAAAAGGTTTCTTTTTTTTAGCAAAGCTGAATTTTCAGCATCATTACCCCATTCTTCAGTGTCACATGATCCTTCAGAAATCATTCTAATATGTTGATTAGCTGCTCAAGACACATTTCTTATCATTACCTATGCTTGCTGTTGTTGTTGTTTGAATGACACTAAAAAAGTTCATTACTTTAAGTATTATGTTTTCTTCTAGACAGTGGCAGAGCGATGAAAAGTGTAAATAACTTAATGCACCATTGCTCCGATAGCTTACTGCACCTCTGTTCACCAAGCGTGAAGGAAAATCACATAATCACAGATTTTTAAGGGTGTTGACAGCTGAATTAATTGCAGATCCTTGGGGGGCTGAGATGAAAGACAGGTAGCAGAAGCCCCCCTAAACATCAACACCAGTGTGCTTTACTGTATATAGAGTTTGGTGAAAATAACTAAAACTCTTTGGACATGCAGTACTCAGATGATCAGTGTTCCTCCCAGCAGAATGTTCAGACAGCTTTCTTTTCGTAACACTCTCTCTCCTCTCCTCTCCTCTACTGCCAGGCTGCAACATATTTATTTATTCATCACTTCATGCAAGTTGCGTTCTGCTGCCTTTGACACTGCAGGGAAAGACAGACAGAAGCAGAGGGAGGGAGGATGACAGAGATTCAGAGGTACAGGGACGTGGATGAATGTCTGTAAACAAATGTCCAGCAGTGTAGATGTTAAAGCCATGTTTAGGTTCTTAGCAAAGCTGTTCCATCTCAAAATAGCTTTCAAACAAACAAGCGGACTTGCAACAATGATTCGTAAATCACTGTGAAAGCTCTCGATTCTGCAGGAGTTGCTTGGTCACAACATGATGAATTGGAATTACATATTCCATACTGGTGAGACCGTATAAATACAGAAACATTGCAGACAGTTGCATGGTTTGCATGTAATTCAGTAATTTGCACATATAACTAATGCCAACCAGTTGCAAAAATATTTTCCCAGTCTGTTTCCACCAGTCTCATGGAGATTTGTGCTTGTCAAAATCCTGCTGTTTTACGGATGTGATTTGAGTGACTGGTTTTGGATGAAAATAATACAAAGCAATTTTGAAATGCCTGCAATATGATTGACTCTTGTAAAAAAAAAAGAAAAGAAAAAAAAAAAGTTATGTATGGAAGAATCTGTTCTCTGCAGCGATTGCAGATTGCCACTTGTGTGCAGATGTGATAGAGAGAAACTTTAGACCAGCATGATGAAAATCCACTCATAACTTACATAAGACTGTCACTTTGCTAGCAAGATTGACAGAGATATACTGTCTAAGATTACATTGTGGGGTGCAGATAAATATTCAAACAAGGTCATCATAACAAATGGGTTAATAATATAATGCTGTACAGTTTTTGTACCAGCGATTTAAAGATTGATTGATTGATTGATTGATTGATTGAGATTTCAAACCAAATGTTTTAGGGATGTAACTAGAGATGCACCGATTGCAATTTTCTTGGCCGATTCCGATTTCCAATTTTTTTTGTTAGATTCAGGTAAGAAATACTACAGAAATCCAGTGTTATTTTACATTTGATGACTTTAATTTCTGTAGTCTTCATTGTAAAAATTAAATACAGATTAATGCTTACCATTAAAGTTATAAAACGTATTCAGTCAAGAGCAGTGATTTTCTTTGTCTTTTGTTCTTTGATTAACATGACAGACAGCAGCAGGAATATTGGACTGCGGTCCCTTTAAGAGTTTATCCCCGATCCGGGCCGATCATGAGGAAAATCGGCCGATTCCGATCCCTGGCAGATCGATGGGTGCATCTCTAGATGTAACAGATTTGATTTGATCCATGATCCTTATGGACCGCCCCACAGAATGGCAAGCATGTGCCTTGCAGATTAGCAAAGTTTAACCATCATAGATTGATGATGCTAGTTTATCATTTGCACTAGTATTTAAGTCTTGCCATTTAAAATATTCAAGCAATTCGGTACTTGCGTTTCATAAAATCTGAATCAGTATTAATTTAAACACAATCAGTTATGTCTTAAGTAACAGTATACGGGATCAGTGCAGGTCTTAAAGTGACATCGGCCTAACAAACCTTCTGCTGTCTGTGTAATTAATGTTAATAAAATAACAAATCAAAACCACTCACTGCTCTTGACAGGATAACTTTTGTAACTTTAACAATAAAGAATCTGTATTTAATTTATACAGTGAAAACTATGCAATGTTATTTAACATTTCATTATTTAATTTTTGTACCTGAATACTACCGTTTGACCTACCTAAAAAAAACTTTTTGCTGATCCGAAAAATTATTCAATGCACGATTCAAAAACCATAATGTGATATGAACTGTGAGTTTTGTGATCCATCATACCCCTAAAACATGGCCGTAGCCTGCTTTGAGTTCACTGGAGGTCTGGACTTCGGTAAATTTTTCATGTTCAAAAATAAAATCTGTTTTCTGAATGACTAATTTGCCATTGAAATCTCCTCATATGAGTGTCTGCATGTATAGGTAATTAAATTTAGACAGTTTGCTAGAATTTTCCGTGTCTGTGGTGTGAAAATGATGGATAAATATACATGTCACTGCGAGATGCTGGTGGAGTGAGCGATGCTTGAGAGAGTTGTGAGAGAGGGCGCAGACGCAGCCAGATCCAGCTATTATAAGCTTCTTTGGCCTTGTCTTTTCCTCTTAATTTGACACTTTAGAAAGTTAATAAATTGGGAAGTTGCAGTTTAGGATTAAAAATACCTTTATCATATCTTATTTACAAAAGATTTAAACAAATTTTGGTTAATTTTATTTATTTTTCAGTTTTTATTTGTTTTCATATCAATATCTGGCAACACTGCATCTTTGGCACAAAACCGACAGTAATCAAAAAGCCCACGGACAGGTTATTGCTGACTAGGTCCACATTCAATCAGGCAAAACAAAAAAAATATCTGTAAGAAATTGCATCAGTGCTACCAAAAACAGTATAATTTAACACTAATACAGAAATCTGTAGAACAGGTAGGTTACAGAATTAAATTAAATATGCAAACACTGGCCATGAAGAAGTCTATGCTATTTCATTCAGAATAGCAGTTACATTTCCACAAAGCCATGCTAAAAACATTAATAAGAGCACTAGACAAAGTTATCATCATAGCAATGTTTATTAATGAAAACTATAACAGTAATAAGTATTGTTGCATAAATCATAAACAAATGATACAATTATCCACCCTAACCTATAGTAAAATATAAAACAATTATAAAACTATAAATATGGTATAATTTAACAGTAATTATCCCTCCAAAACATCTTTCACAAACATCTACATCTTTTTAGTGTATGAGTTGTATTTGTAGGTGTTACAATAGCACAATTCTTAACCCCACCCCAGACCTCACTGATTTTCAAACCCTAGTTACAGCCATGCCCTAAAATGTTATGTAAGTGTACACTGTTATCTAAATTTGTAACGTTTTGTATCTTTTAGAAAACATAAGGCCTGTAAAAACATTGCTGATCTATTTGAAGGTTGCCTTCAGAATTTGTATCATTTTGTGTTTAGTGCACAATATTGGCTGCACGAAGAATTCTTACATTGAAGTTTTTACCGTCCAGGTCAGAAGAGAAATAAATACAAATAAATACAATAATAAAGTAGGATTAAAGCTTCAAGGCCTTAATTCTTATTTAAGAAAATGTAACAAAGCCTTTTTAAAAAGGTTTAAAGGTCTCAGTTTTCTGTATGGCTGTTCATGGAACCTTTTACTTGAAGAGTTTTATTTTCTGTGTTGCTCGATTATTGTGGTATGATCTAATTTACATTTACTCCCCCTAAACAGCACTTAAAAACAAATCAAACTAAGGTTGGTCACTTTACATGTTGGCCAGGAGTTTTCTTCCTGTCTAAGTAGGCAGTTCAAGGCCTAAATATGTTAGACCAGATTCCACAGTTCAGAAGTCTGGGTAACAGAACCCTAATGCTTTTCAGCCAAGATGGGTAAAAGACCACCTCTTGGCATTAACAATTGACAGCTGTTTCATGGGAGTGCTGATGTAGCTCACAGTAAGTCTGAATTCACACATCTCAGGAATGGAGAGGCTTTTAATGCTCTCAGATGTAGGCTGTCAAAAATGTCAAGAGGAGTGGCAAGGAGAAAATGATTAACTGTGAAAAACAACATTTTCTGAAAAGGGCATGTTGAATCTGTAAAGAACTCAATATTAATGAGGGGCACTATTAACTTATCAATTTTAGATGAAATACACTGTAATATTTTAGAGATTTTCTGATGTTTCTTTTTTCTTCTTTTTTTCAAATTCAATTTTAAATTCAAAACCAAATTTGAATCCATTGACTTGGAATTTGAATCTATCTATCTATCTATCTATCTATCTATCTATCTATATATCTGCTGTCTGTCTGTTCAAAACATAGTCTTTTCATCTTTTGCATCCAAGGCTTTGTCAAGCCAGCATTCAAAGTTTTCTTGTCAAACATTACTTTTTTCTACTGTTAAATTACAGTTTTATTACTTTCAATAAGTTTCTGTGTAATTCTATTTGTTTACATTCAAACTAAAATTTCAATTCTGCATCCTCTTTGCTACCTCAAATCAAATTCAATTTAAATTCAGGAATTGAATTGTGATTCATATTTTTTACTCCACACAGGCATCGAGTGCATCTTGGTTCTCCCGGATCCTCGCAGTTATTGGGACCCAGTATTTGGGACGTGCGTTTTCCTGCTCTCCTTCCTGGTTCCTGTAGCTATCATCAGCGTGTGCTACAGCCTCATGGTAAAGCGCCTCCGTAGTGTCCGAATCCTATCGGGGTCCAAGGAGAAGGATCGCAACCTTCGGCGCATCACGCGCATGGTTCTAGTGGTTGTCGCGGCCTTCATTGTGTGTTGGACGCCCATCCAGATCATGGCACTGGCACAGTCGCTGGGCTTCAACTTGGGCAGCGTCCAGACGGTGGTGTTCATGCACTTATGCATCGCCCTGGGCTACGTCAACAGCAGCCTGAACCCCGTCCTCTACGCATTCCTCGACGAAAACTTCAAGCGCTGCTTCCGTGAGTTCTGCCACCCTTCACCATTTGGGCTTGACGCGCAGCAGTCGGGCCGCATGCGCAACATCGCGCGCGAGGTGGCCTACAACTGCAAGACTGCGGACGGGAACAGTAACCCCGCATGACTAGGCGTGGAGCTGCCCCTGGTCAGCCCTGAGCCTCGACCCAATCCAGGGTCAGAAAACTCAAACTCTGAGTTGACTCAGATTACAACACTCTAGCACCACAGTCACCTCCGCCAGGTGGGCGGGGGAAAGGGTTGGGCTAGGTGTGAAGGCGGAGTCAAGTTAAATGACACGCCCTTTTAGGGACAAAGGGGCTCACTTTACAGTGTCTTAAATGGTTTTGGATGTTATTGTCCACGGGTTTGTTCTTATTCAAAAAATTATTACACTTTGTTGTTCAGTGTTGCAGCCTTGTACATGCTTTTTTTGTCTCTCTTTGCAAAAATCAATGTTTCTCTTGAAATTTGAGACTGTAGAATTTCATGGCCTTAAACATACATCTGAACCTATGGATTAAGTGTATCAGTCCTTTTTGTGGTATTGCCAAGTGTTGGAATGTACTATATACACTATAGAGTATATATAGTGTATAAACAGTATATAGTAAATGGACTGTACTATGTATTATATAACTATATACAGTTATGACACTGAATCTTAAACTACAGAGACTTGTAAAGCCTGATTGTTATTGAAAAAAAAGTTGATATTTTTCTTGGTTTGACTGTACAATAAGCAAAAATATTTTATATACATGTATGTTTGGTAGCACAGATTGAAACTTAAAAAAATACTTGTAAAGAAATGAAAATGTATCACAAAACAGATGCTGTAGTGTTCTAATATATATGTGCATAAAATGAAGTTAATCATGTTCGAGGCTTTGCATTGTTGAAGACGTCAGTCGGCATTACCTCAAATTTTTCTTGAATGTTTCTTTCGCTCTGTTTCTTGCTTTGTTATTACATAATGGATTGTTCTCGACGAGACGGACAACAAAGAACCAGCATTGTCATAGGTTTACATCACAGACCACTGAATGTGAAAAAAAGACTATTTACGCCAAATTAAAGAAATATATATATAATATAAATATATATAAATATATACATATATATATATATATGTATGTATATATGTATATATATATGTATGTATCAAAGGGTCTGAATACTTAGGACCATGTGATATTTCTGTTTTTCTTTTTTAATAAATCTGCAAAAATGTCAACAATTCTGTGTTTTTCTGTCAATATGGGGTGCTGTGTGTACATTAATGAGGAAAAAAAATTAACTTAAATGATTTTAGCAAATGGCTGCAATATAACAAAGAGTGAAAAATTTAAGGGGGTCTGAATACTTTCCGTACCCACTGTATATATATTGAAAGTGTCAGTGGAATATAGATATATTGTACACCTAATGCTTATTCCTGTAAACTTTAACTTGATATTGTGATTGTGTGTTTACTTGCTGCATTGATTGGCTGATCATCTACCTGTACTTGCATATTTATTGACTGGTGGGACCATATTCTGATGGACTGAAATTAAATGCCAGCTAGTGCTATGGACGTTTACACAGCCTATATGGGAAATCCTTTTCTCTTCTACATACTTATTAAAGAGCAGTTATTAAAATGCATTCTATGGCTGTAAAGCATTGTTTGTGATTAAAAACTCATACGGCATGTTATTTTGAAAGATCCCATTTATATATATCTCAGAATAACAAGCTGATAATGTTGATTTCAGTTGCATGAAAAAGTAAGTGAACCCTTGGGTCTCTGGATAAACTGGGTCTGATGGGTCATAACAGACAAACAAAGTCAGGTTAAAAAATAACCTATAAAAAAAGTAATTTTTTTTTATAGGCTTTTTGGGAGCACAATGCAAACTTACACAGTGCAGGGTGGATATAATAAAAGTTTGACCCACCTTTGGTGACAATAACCTCCACAGACATTTTCAATTGCGGATCAGATCTGCACAACAGTTGGGAGGAATGAAACTTTTCAGGTCTGCAATATTCTTGGGAAGCCTGGTGGCTCTCTTGAGGTCATGCCAAAACATCTCACTCGGATTGAGGTCAGGACTCTGATTGAGCCACATCAGGAGGCGTATTTTATTCTGTTGAAGCCATTCTGCTGTTGATTTGCTCCTGTGCGTTGGGTCGTTGTGCTGTTGCATCACCCAAGTTCTCTTGAGTTTCAAATGGAGGACAGATGGGCTTATATTCTCCTGATAAACTGGGAATTAATTCATTAATTTTGTCAATGATAACAAGCTGTCCAGGCCCTTAGGCAACAAAGCAGCCCCAAACCTAGTGATTCACATTCTTTTTCCACTCTGCACTTTGAACGTTTACACAGCGGGTTCAATAAATACATGAAAATATATAGTTGTTTGTGTGTTATCGGTTTGAGCAGATTGTGCTCATCTATTGCTATGACTTAGCTGAAGATCAAATACCATTTTATGACAAATGGTGCACATACTTTATCTTGCAACTAAAAACTGTGTACATGAGATGCATTCATATTGAGTGGCACCTTAATCGCTCTGCACAGCATGTATGTCTGCCATGGGGCTTCATTTCACAGATCAGTTTGTGCTTGTAAAAGAAAACAACACCTTGGATGTGAACGTGTTCCTTAAGATTCACAAAAATGATTGAGATTTATAATTTTCAGTTGATTGTTGGTATCTCTGTAACTCCCCACTGTAATTCCCTCAGTTGGAACCATCAATTTTTAGGCTTACAGCCCAGATCTTTAACCTTTACACCCTGTTTCCCTCTTTCAGTGATTACAGTTTCATAATGAAAACAGGGATGCAGCTATACAACTATTTAGGATGTAATTAGTACATTAATATGTACACTGTCGCTTTGCACTCAGTCATTTTCATCTGTATATTTTGATGCTTCATGCACCCGTCACCTACTGTTTTTCTGCAGCTCCAAGCTAGGCACATAATAAATAAATAAATTAAAATAATATATTTTCTTATTTTGCACCTACAGGTTAAAACAGAACCTGGTAGATGGCTGTAGATGGGTTGCGACCCACACATACTTCATTTGTTCAAGTGCTAACTACGAAATCAAACAATCACGCTCTCAAAATGAGACATATGCCCAACTCTTGGAAGCCCCATTTCCAGTAGCATTTCATCAATATTTTATGTTTTCATTTCCGTTGCCATGGCAACATGATTTCTCAGCCCCATTTTATTTCCCATAAATGTGGACTATAGGGAAAATGTTTTGAAAATATACTTTGTGATATAAGAGATTCAATTAGAAGTAGGTCTCAGCTGTTTTTCTCAAGCGTGTGTTGCTCTTGCTGCAG